CCATTTAAATGAAAAATTAAACTAATTTCACTGACATTATTCGAGAAATACATTTCTTCATTTTCAATTTTGCCTTTGATTTAAAAGAGTGAAAGATCATTTTAGGTATAAAACGTTGATATGTCATGCGTCGATCATTGAAATGAAAATTGCTTGTTCGAATGGGATTGAAGAACTAAGGTCTCATTATTTCTCTGTCAATCAATTTAAAAATTATTCTTTATGACGTCCATGAAGTTGTACTAAACAATCGATCATTGAAAAAAAATTCTTTAGACAAGGACTTAATATTTGAAGTTGCGGGATTAGATAAATCTCGTGGAGCTCTAATGACGTGATCTATGCTCTTACATAGAAAAAAAATTGGTAGACAAAATCCTTAAGAAATATGATGTTTGATATTTTAGAGAAAGATTTATAAATTATCTATACATAATCAAACTTCACAACACAATCCAATAGAGCCACAAATATTATTCACTTATCAAATATTTATTATATATATACACATTTCCAACTATGATACAATTGATTCACCAACTCCAGTATTTAAAATCTTCCTGACCGGCAGAAGCTCATACAAAAGTAGGACTTGAACCGGCCGACGCCGAGGGCTGCAAACTGGCGGTATAGTCACGCGACCACAAGTCGTAGTGTATGATTTCTTCGAGGGATGGTGAGGATACCAATTCTTGTCTGTGCTTATCACAAGTTAGTTCCACGACTTTGAAAATGTCCAGGTAGCTAATTCTGCAACAGGAAAACAGATCAATAGCAGCAAGTTCGTGGCAAATGTAAGGCACATTAAGCATGGTCAGGAGTCGATATAGTGACGACGCAAGCTACTTACTTTTCATTGATAAACATTTCTACAGCCTTCTCATTAGCCGCACTAAGAACTCCGGTCATGGTCCCTCCAGCTCAACCAGCAGCATAGGCCAGATGCATGAATGGATATTTCACAATATCCGGAGTCTTAAATGTTAGACAAATTGTTGTCAAACGACCTCCCTGAGTGATGATGAATAGAATTGTTTTAGTTCAGTCGGCATAAACCAAATGACTGCAGGTATATCGACACCACAATTTGGTAAACCAA